AAGGGAGACTAGTATAGATCTATTTCAAGCTATTTAGCTCTCATCAGCTAGCCACACCCTTGTTGGGAATCGAACCCATATATATATGAATTGTAGGTGATGACTGTGAAAGGGATGCACAGAAGTTTTTGTAACCAATCAACACACTGTCTACAATTTGTAATGGAAGAAGGTTCTGTGTTTTGAGTTTTTTTGTGTGTTTTGTCTGTGTTTATTCAAAAATAAAAAAAAAATCTTTTAAAAAAACTTCCAATTCTGTAAATTGCTTGGTCTGATAAAGGATTATACGAAGGTAAACAAAACGAAATTCGTTATAAGCAGAGGCGCTGTTGGTCAAGACAAAATTAGGTGGGCATCAAGCATAGCTGATTTTTTTTTAGTGATGGCAATACCAAAATAGCTAGAAACAGACGTCCTGCTCAGAAGCACTTGGGGTTTTTTTTGTGTTTTTTTTCGTTTCAGTCTCGCTAAGACACAAGTTCTCTGCGGGAGTGATGAGACTAAAGCTATAAAAGACTGGACGAGATCAGCATCTGCACCAGACGCTCAGCTAAAACGCTATTTGCAAAGGATAGGAAACCAATTGCGGCTGCGCGCGGAGAGCTTTCCCCCCTCCGCCCCGAATCGAGATTATCTGCGACTAAACGTTCCTCCGCCAGCTTCTCCCTTCCTCCTTTTCAAGTTAAACCGCGACTTTTGCCCTATCCGCTTTGGCGTTGAACTCCGCGTCGCCCCGACTCCCTCCACCCTACCCCAACGCTGCCCTTCTTGGACTGCTCATCCTTCCCCACCCCCCGTGCCAAAGTCAACCGGTCGGGGGAGGTTGGGAGGGGGGGGACATCAATCCAGCGAGCACCCAAGTCAGAAGCAAAATGTATTCAATTTTGTGGCAAGAAGGGAACCGTTAGCGCAGGTTAACAACGGACGAAACGTCACGAGCCCCCCCGCTCCCCCCAAAGGATGATGGAACTTGTAGTTCTGTCGGGAAAACGACGTGAAAGCCCCAGCCCCGGCCCAAACTGAAAAAAGGCGGTGGGTTGTGTCCTCCCGCGGAGTCTTCTCAGCAATTCGCATGTCGTTAAGCTGCATTAAACATGATATAATGGATCCTTATGTGACCCTAACAGATGGTATTTTTGTAAATCAATTGAAAGTTACAGAATTTTACACCCCCACGGTACAAGAATACAGATGCAATTGTCTGGCGCAATAATGCGGCGCAAAAATATCCTCAATATTTAGATATTTTAGATATTTTATTAATATTTATAGGCCGCCCTTTTCCCCGCGGGGACTCAGGGCGGCTTACATAAAATAGGGAGGGGGGGGGTATAAACAATAAACATAAAACAATACATAAGAGTAAAATAGTACACAACATTCATTCTTCATTCTTCATTAATATTTGTCGGATAAATCTGATCCGTTTCAGGAAAACGTGAATGTGAATATTTTTCGTTTGCCGTGTCCTTAAATTACTTCTATAAAACTAGAAGTAGCTTAAATTTCTGGCAATACTAGTAAAGCTACAATGGATCAAGCTGTAGCTCAGAAATTTGTTTTTAAATTACACCTTTGCGTTTGAAAAATATATAGAAAGACAGTGTCAAGTCTAGCTGTCAGAATGCAACCCTACAGATAGATTGAAAGGCATGACGCTGCAATCCCTCACATTTAGAACGTTACATCATGTTTTCTTTGACACTGTTTACAGTTTCAATACTTCAGCAACCCGGTGGCGCAATTCTGGCAGAAGTCCAGTTCAGAAATACTTGTACAGTATTAATTTTTTAAAAAAAAACTACTATTCCCAGCAGGCTCCAGGGAAAGAGTTGCGAAATAAACGAGGATATATAAGATGCCTCTCGGGCAACGTGAACTTCAGACTGCTCGGTGAGTTTCGCGGGCGCTGGTTCTTCTTTAGGCGTATTTTTTTTAAATTAACTGCAGCGTTATTGTTATTGTTATTATTATTCCTCTCCTCTGAAAGCTGAGAACAGTCCCTCTGCTGCTCCTTTATTTCCTCCTCTCCTTCCTTCCTTTTGTCCGACCATTGCAATGAGACCCAACGAAGCAGTGGAGGCGTCGTCCGCCTCGGAGATGCGCTTGGACGAATGGAAGCGGTGGGCGGCCGAATGCATCGACGGGTCTTCGCAGCGGCTGGGCGAGCTGAGCCGGGAGATCTGGAGCCACCCGGAGCTGGCTTACGAGGAGCACCAGGCTCACGCCGCCCTGACGCGCTTCTTCGCCGGCCTGCCCGTCTCCTCCTCTTCGGGCGCCTGGTCGGTGCAGCGCAGTTACAAGTTAGAAACGGCCTTCCGGGCAGACTGGAAGTGGGACGGGGCGTCCTGCTCTCCCGCCGAAGCCAGCCAGGCTCTCGGGCAGCCACCGCCGCTTCGGCTGGGCTTCCTGTGCGAGTACGACGCCCTGCCCTCCATCGGGCACGCCTGCGGACACAACCTCATCGCCGAAGTGGGAGCCGCCGCCGCGCTGGGCCTGAAGGGCGCTCTGGAAAGCCTTCGCCAGAGCCCCGCCGGCCTCCCTCGCCAGGCGCCCTCGGTGAAGGTGAGAAGCCCAGAATGACTTTATTGTCACTTTAAATGATCTAATCGACAGACGTTAAAATGCAATTTCGTTCACCGCCTTCAATATACGCTACATAAACATGACTGACTGACTGTGACTGACTGATTAAATAAATAAGCAAGCAAGCATATATCCACATAAATGACACAGTGAAACAACACAGTCTAAGTGACTTGGCATCTTGGTGCTCTTAGCAGCCCTCCTTGGTTTTAATGCTAGGGAGCACATGGGATTATAAAATGCTAACTTTAAATTTTGAGCATATCTCCCTTCCCTCTGTTGTTGTTTTGTAAATTTCTTTATCTTTATGTAGAAAGCCATACATTTTCAGTCTGAGTGCTATGTTGAAGAGAGGAGCACACGCATCCCTGTAAACAGGCTTTCTCTGTCTAGGATTCCCCTGGCACGATGTTCTGTTGTTGTTTTTCCAGACCCTGATGTCTTGTCACCTTCTCGTTTTAGGTCACAGTGCTGGGTACCCCTGCTGAAGAAGACGGAGGAGGCAAAATAGACTTAATTAAAGCTGGGGCTTTTGATGGTCTAGATGTTGTTTTTATGGCTCATCCCTCTCAAGAAGATGCACCTTATTTACCTGATATTGCAGAACATGAGTGAGTATGGAGGAATGGGGAAGCTTTGCTGAGAGTGCCCGAAAAAGGGTCCTGTGCCTTTTGATCCCCTTTTAGATTCTGAAGGCTGCTTGGAATCCTTTTTCATCCTTTGTGTCAGTTCGTGAACAACACAGTACAACACATTTATGGAGTTCAGCAATAAGCTTCTGCTTCATTTTGCCTGTGTTATGCAAAAGTTGAGGTTCTATGCTCGGTTTATAAAATCCCAAAGGGTCTCTTTGGGAGGAAAATGTTTCAGTTCTTATTGGTTTAGAGCCACTTCCATTTTTAACATGAATGCATAGATAGGATAATAGTAATGCATTTTTTGTTCCTTTGACTGACAATTGTAACAACAGCATCTTTTCCTGAATTCTTGCTCCTACAGTAGTCCTACATTTGAGGAGTCTTACTCAAATGGCCCTTGGTCTTACTCTTGCTTAGTACTCATTACTATATTATATTAGGGAAGCAGCAATGGTCAGAAATAACAGTTGCCTCCATTTTCAATAACTCACTTCAGTATTCAGTGTTGCTCTCTTAGTATTTGAAGGAGGCAGAATGCCCAAACTTTTTAATCCTCCAAAGAGGAAGGAACAACATCTATGATTAGCAAAAGCAACAATTTCTTGCAACCATACCTTACTCAGGGTTCTGTGTTGTTTTAGTAAATGCAGGACTAAGCATTTTCAGAAACTGCTTCTACAAGAAATGGTTATTCCAGGTATTCCTTGACTTATTACTACTCATTTAATGCCTGTTCCAAAATACAGCTCTGAAAAAAGTGACTTACAACCAGTCGTCACACGTACAACTGTCAAAGTCCACATGGCCACATGATCAAAATTTGATACTTGGCAAATGGCATGTGTTTACAACAGCTACAGGTCCCATGGTCAAGTGATCACTATTTGCAACCTTCCCAGTGGACTTCCAACAACCGAAATCAGTGGGGGAACTAGGATTCACTTAAGGAGTGTGCCAAAAATGTCATAAAATTGGGGGCAACTCACTTAACAAACGCATTGCTTAATAAAGCAAGTTCCAATCCCAATTGTCATAAATTGAGGATACCTGTAATAACTTGCCTATATTGTTTTTGATTTTTTTTCTTGTTTTTGATTTTTTTAAGCAGTGTAACGGGGGGGTAGGCCCAGTAGTATTGGCCAATGTAAACAACTAGAAAATGGAGCAGCCTTTACCTTGTTACAGGGGCTTCTGTAGTTGTGGAGAGGTAAAAACTAAAATAAAATAATGGATATAACTGCACAGTTGAATCCCTCACCTCTTCGTATGTTCCACCAGTTGTATAAAGAGGTAGGGCTTTAATTGTAAGGGCATGCCTGCAATATTGACTTTTTTGACACATACTTATTATTTTATTTTATTTAGTTAGTTTGTCACTCATGTACAAGATAACAGGAATAAGAATAAACATGAATAAGGACACAGGAAATAGGTACAAATAAATTGGTACAAATAAATAAATACACATATATGCAACCTTGCAGGCATTTCTGGTGATACTTCCGCTGATTTTCTATAAACTCCACAGCTATATATTACCTAAACATCTGGCAAACACTAAAGGCTCCCACATTCTTGTTATTCCAGAGCAGTGTTATGAAATTTCCTTCTTATCTGCTTATTTACAATGCTCCATAGTTGCTTATTGGTTCAAATTTGCTTGGTAATATACCATACTTGGCACTATTGAGATAAATGTAAAGTAAGGAAAATATTATCACAAATGGCATTCTGTTTTGTGACGTTTCAGTAACTTCTTTGGTAATAAATTACATGTAAAATTAAAGTAAAATAGTAGGAAATTAGGAGAATTCAGTTATCAAATATAACTGAAATATGCAGTATTCATTTAATCTGAATATTTTTGCATTGTAATTTTTTATGAATGTGTAGCTATCAGTAGTCAAATATTTTATTTAAAAAAACTAAGCAACCATTTTTTAAAAGTTCATGTAACTTCATGTAAGATGTTGCAACAAGTACATCTTTCTCCTCTTTTATCATGCTATTGTTTTCAATATTTTTCAGTATTTTCAGATGACTACCTTCTGTATTGTGACATGTAGCTATACTATAATTGGTTCTATAGATAAGGCTGAGTGTATTTAAAAAACTTGAATTATTTAATGCAGTTCTTATTTCATAATACCTCTTCACATGATTCTCTAAAGAATTTGTTTCTAATGGGGTTATGACGTTTATTACAGAACCGTTCAGGAAATTGGATCTGATGTTTACCTATAATATAGAATTCAATATCTCATAACTCAAATTTATATGGAACAATGTTAATTTTACATTTATTTTTATTTTTCTTTATGCCTCTCCTTATACCCCCAAATCAGTTTTGGGATTGTTTTAGCTTGGATATAGTGGAGCTTTCTTCTTTTAATATTTCAACATGCTTCTGAAAGTCTTCAAACAATAATTAGCCCTCTGCTAATACCTCTGATATTAATGACATGAATCATTGAGAAATCAATGATATTAGGAATGGTTAGTGTAACAAGAAGAAGGGGCAAGCAAAGAACAAGTTGGCTTGATAATACCAAAACTGATACAAAGATGAACATCTAACAACTAAAAAAAGCTGTGTCTGACCCTCCCCTATAAAATTGCTAAGAGTTGGACACAACTGAATGGTTAAAACAACAATTAACGTGTGCAGTGAAAACAATGCACACTTCAGTTTTATTCTTTAAAATGAACATGGCTTATTTTATATGGCTCTGAAAGTCACAAGGTTTTCATATGTCTATAATAGTGTAATGAGAGATAATTTAGTGCAGTGGTTAAAGCATCAGAGTAGAAATGTGGAGACAGTGAGTTTTAATCTGCTTTAGGTACAAAGTCAGCTATTCTTGGGCTAGTCACTTTCTCTCAATCCTGAAAGGGAGGCAATGGCAACCCACTTTTGAAAAGCTTTGCAAAGAAAACTGCAGGGACTTGTCTAGGAGACTTCCAAGAATTGAACTTTATTGAATAGAAGAAGAAAAAATTGTGTAATAATATAGATGTGTTTTTATGTAAACTGGTGGTTTTTCATAGTCTAATATTCTCTTGGACTTCGTAAACAAAGCAAATAGCATTGCTTTTGTTAGATATAACTTAGTCTTGCAGTGATGATTTCCTGTGGTTAACATAGAAGTTGAAGATTTTTTTCTCAAAATGTAACAGTTGATCAACATTTTATAGTTATTAAATACTAATTGTTGTTGTGTGTAGGCAAGAAAATACATTGCAAAAAGTACCAAAAGTACTACCGTGTTTTCCCTGTGTTTTCTGTGTTTCATTTCATGCTCACTCTAATTAAAAATATATCTGTAGGCATAAATAGGCATAAGGATTCATGGGTACTGAAAGGCTGAATTTATCAACAAATACTTGTTCTAGAAATGGAATCTTTGGTTCTTAATGCCCCATTTCATTCTTTTTGATGCTAATAGATTAAACCCAGGCATGATCTAAATAAATTAAGTTCTGGAGTGTCTTTCGCAAGGTTGATTGAGGCAATGCTGAAAATTTAAGAAGATGACAATGCAGCACAAACCTACACAATTGTTTTGTGCTCTGGAAAAGTTTTCTGCTGTGTTTGTAAAGTTTATTTAGGAAATGATTTTGGGAAAATCATTTAAAAAATTTTACACTGAAAGTTCTAAATTTAAAATTAATGTGTAGCACATTGATTATATAGGTTATTTGTAGCTTCTAAAACAATGTTACGAAATGTCTTTGATAATCTTAAACATTCTGCTTTTTTGTCTTTGAGCTTTGGCGCTCATCATTTTTATGAAGGCCCATTATATGGTTTGTTCTTTACCTGAACCTTTAAGTCTTCAGGTCTTCAGTGTACCCATCATTGCTGTAACTGAGTTCATCCATCTTGATGCTGATCATCCTTTTTTTTCTCTTACCTTTCATCTTTCCCAGCATTCAATGATCTGGCATATCCTCCCTGACACACATATTATATCATCAATGAACTATGCACACATATTTTGCATTTGTGCTAAGAAATATGTCGTGCTTGGTTGTTACTTGTATACAAATAAAATATGAGTGCAAGTTGCAAATAAAATATGAGTGCAGGCATCTAGCATTAAGTGAAGCATAATATTCAATGTTGTCAATAAAAATATAATCCAAAATTCCTCTGTTTTGAAAGAAGTGCACATTCATTCGCTTATGATTCTTTGTAGAACCAGAATTCCCTAGCATGCTAGGAACTTTAAATTATAAATATATAAGCAAAATAGCATTGTTTTAAATGTAATTTTTCCTAAATTCAGAAGACAAGATGAAAAGAACATGAATGTAAAGCAAAAACAAACTACAATTATAGTTAGCTTCATGTATTCATGCTATGATTTTTAGAAAGTCTGTGATAAAGTGAAATTAGCAATAATTACCAGCTGTTTATTATATTTCCCCCACTGTAATTATGAGACACTGGCTTACTGTAATAAGGAGTAATACAAAGATTTGATATAAAACCTTCACAGTTGGAACTTAAATATATAAAATTTAAATAAACCAGTCCATATGGGCATTTTATCACTCACCATAGAGCCCTCAGAATAATTCATCAAGAATATCTGGAGACTGTAACAGTTGAGACCTACCTAATGTCTTAGTGAAGATTATTCTACAATGAAGGTGTGGCTACTGAAAGATTTCTGTTTCTAAGAAGTTTTAAATATTTGCCAATAAATTCTAAATTAGCAAAATAGGGTTGCAATTTTAACATTCCTGAATTCTGTTTCTTGATACAATTTTTCATAATTCTTTATAAATACTCATTTTTCACTCATTATTTTTAAGATTGCATTTGTAATTCGGTTCCTGTTAGTCAAATGTTATATTTTATCATGTTTTTCATTGTTGGTGCTGTCATTTTAGTATATTACTTTTCTAGCCTTAACAGACCTGAAAATAAACAGATGGGTGACCACATTTGGCCAATTGGTTGATCTCACAAAATCTGATTAGAGTTTGACTCAGTGCTCAAATGAGAGACCACCAATAAGAAGAATGGCTGCAAGTGAGGGAGGTGAAAAATACATTCTGTAGGAAAGCAGTGGCAAACAGCCTTCATTTCATTGCCAGCAGAACTACAGGGACATAACCATAATCAAGCTCAAGTCAAATACGACTTTATCTTTGGAAAGGAAGTAAAATATATATTTGCCAGTCATGTACATTTCATAAAAGAAACATCTGCTGTCTTATCCCTTTATTTTGCCTTAGTAATTGGTTTAGATGACTTGGTCTTCTATGGAGCTCTTCTATGACAGATAGATTTCTTTATTTCACTGACTGTGAGAAATTAATCTGTATAACTATACTTCTAATGCATGTGTTTGTGTTCTGTAAAACATTTTTTCCCTGTCTAGAAATGATTTCTAGGTTAGCATATAATGAGATTTGTTCATTTTCTTGACCTAGGAAGAGCAAATGAGTTTTATTTGGGTTTGCTTTGTACTGGATTTGCCAAGAACAGTGGAATGACCAAAGAAGGCACATTTGTTATGCTCATTTTTTAGATAGGCTCTGGCTTAAACAATAAACCACGGATTAAACAAATCCTGCCTTGGTACAAGCAAAACTACTGTAGAAAGAAGCAAGTAGAGAAGATAAAACCTTTAATAAAACTCCAGGAAGTTTTTATCTTCATACATGTTTAACATGTTCTTTTTACAAAGTGTTGCTAAAGGTTTTAGGTACTAATTCACTAATTTCCTCCAGGCTTAATTTTATGTGCTATGTAAGTTCTCTAATAATAAGTATGTACTATAGATCTAATAATGTTTTGCAGTGCCACAGATTAGCATTGACTATGGAAACTCTGTATCACCTTCCGTTCATAACCTTGTGTTGATTTGCTGTTTCAGATCTTTGTAGAGCTTTGAAGTAATGCTATACAATGTAGCATGCACTTGTCTCCTTAAAATTATGTTCGTGAAATGAACCCAAAGGGATTTTCTTTCCTTCAAAACTTTTTAAAAACAAGTGATGGCTTTTATTTCCTAGTGTGACTGTGAAATACTATGGAAAAACTTCTCATGCTGCTGCTTACCCTTGGGAAGGACTAAATGCATTAGATGCTGCAGTGCTTGCATACAACAATCTGTCCCTTTTAAGACAGCAAATGAAACCGACATGGAGAGTACATGGTGAGATCTTCCTTCACTCTTACGTCCAGCAGGTTATATCAGACCCTGGTTAAGCAAATGTGTTCTATCTGGCATGTTAATGTTATGCAAAATGAACGGCTGCTTATGTTTATTAGTCTTAATTATTCCAATGTGGTATTAAATGCATAATGGTAAGAACTGCTTTTCATATGAAAATATGAAGCAGCTAATGCTATCAAATTAGCTTTTACGTAATCATTAAATCCACATTTTCATATTATAAAATTAAATTAGTATACTTAATTTTAATTAAATGTAAATAAAATAAAAAAGTAGCTTTAATCCTACATTCTGAAGTTGGTTATATTAAAAAACTAAATATGACCTTTGACCAAGGAAGAACTTGCATTCATTCTCTAGACATATAAAGGAAATACATATGTATGCATTTAGAAACAATCATGGTGAAATTATTAATTTTATTATAACTGCTTAATTTAAGGACATTTCTTGAAAGAAACTGAATTATCTTGCATCCCAAAGATAATTATTGTGGCTGCATTAAAAATAAAGTTATTATGTGCAATATATGGCATACCTAAAGCTGGTATCATTTTTAATAATAATAATAATGAAAAATCGAGTTAAACAAAATCCATATTGTTTCCTTAAATACAATATATATAAAAAACCTCTAATTATCTAAAAAGCAAAAGATTCTTGGTAAAAGAGATAAATAATTTGTTTTTCCCATTATTGTCCTTAGGTTATTTTAATCACCATATATCCATGCCATTCGATCCTGTTTAATAAAATATTTGGATTTTAGTTCCAGTTGTTGGGGTTTCCTTTCAAAATAATGCAGCATATATAATAAGAGAATTAATAAATCTTAAATAGTAGATTAAAAAGTGTTCCATAGGGGTCTTGACATCTATTTTGATCCAGAGAAAACATTTATTTAGTGACTTATTGGGGGAGGCAAAGTATCTCCTTTTCTGGATAATTGTTTCTTTTCTGCATTTCATCCACCCAGTTTCTGCTTTGTGAAGGTTTCATTTCATACTCTCTTAAGTTGCAGTGACATAGCTTTTGAAGTCTTAGGCAGAAATCATTACTTTAAATTTACCTCAATGTATATATTGCTCCCTTCAAACAGTAATTTGTACAGTTCACTAACACTACAGGAGAGAGTAAGTGATGGTGTGTTTTATCCCCCAGGTGATCCACCTCCTCAAAATTACATGGAAGTTGATAGGGGACTTCGAGGAAATCTGTAAATATTGTTATGAAACTTTCTTTTTCCAGGTGCAAATCTGTGCTGATACTGGTTTTTTCCCCCTCTTCTGTCCATTTTGGAACTATGTTAACTTGATCATAATAGAGTTGTTGAGGTGAATTGTTGCTGTTAGGCTGACTATAGAAGATTATTTTTCCTATAATTTTAAAATAAAGGAAGCCAAGCTTAAGTTGTATTTATTACATTAACTTTCTAGTAAGCATTTAGCTTCTTCTGACCATTGAAACAAATCAAAAGAAAAGCATTCAACTAGACAAGGCATCTGTATGCCAGTTTGTAATTCAAGGAGCTTTCTGTCTTTAAAATGAACATGTTATGGCACTGAGAATGATTATATAAATGTTAAGCAACATATAGAGACTCAATCTGTTGTAGTAATTAGAGGCACTAGGCTAGAAATCAGAAAACTAGGAGTTTTAGTGCTGCCTTATGCAGGAAACTAGCTGGATTACTTTGGCCAGTCATTCTCACAGCTTAAAGAAGTAGATAGTAGCAAACCACTTTTGAAAATGTTGCCAAGAAAACTGCAGGGACATGTTCAGTAAGTTGGCACACATCTCCTCAGCAAGCATTATATAAATGGAATTTAAATTGGTATAGTGATGGAAATTGGTCCACAGCATTGCCTACTAACTGTTCTCTGTTCTAGTTTTTACATTCTCTTCAAATGAGCAATTTCCCAGGATATTTCTACAGCAGTATTTGTTACTATATAACTATCTTAAGTATGGAACAGTTTGGGTATGGGACTGTTCCATTCTTTTATTTTCATATTGCTGGGGAAATTTCATAATCCTGGCAAAAGCAGTTCTAAATATTTCATCATTTAATGGGCTGCTGACAAAGCAAGATGCTTTTGTATATTAATTTCAGGAACGTGTGGCTCAAAGTAATCTTTATGCTTTTATATCATGTAAACCTTAATATGATGGATAATCTATGATTATGGAATTATAATCTCAAACATTGGGAAGCAGGTACTGCTTACCCAAGGACTCAAAAATACATACTTGGTCTTTTCAGATATTTCTGATAGCTTGAGTTTGACTATCCTATGAATATCTGTACCATGGGATCTTTTTATATGTGTGTGTGTGTATTTATATATTTATTTATATTTATTTTTATATATATGAAACTAAATTATCCAGGATGAGACCAGGTTGGCAGTCTCTAAGCTCCACAGGACCACCTGCTCTGCCAAGAAGGCAAAATAAGAAGCCAAAGGGTGGTTGAGCCACTAAATTTATTTATTTATTATTTATTAATAAGATTTATAGGCCGCCCAATCCCGATCAAATCAGCCCTCCCCAGATGTGCTGCGAGAGGCAACCCTCCTCATGCACCCCTAGTCAACACATCTGGGAGGCTGGAAGGAAACAAGGTCCCAATCCTTTCTGTGTGTTTTCCCATTTTGTATGCCCAAGAAAGCTTTGCAAATGTTAATTGCTATTACAATTAATAAAAGATTATTCCAGCCAACCTCCTCCAATTATTTTGTCCACTCGTTTTGTTTTTTGCTGACACAGCAGCTTATTTGTCTGAGCTGCATCCAAGTTGCCAATTGTCCTTTGCTCCGTTCTCTTTGGTGCCCGGTGGGTACGGTGACCATATTTTGTTGGAGAAAAGAAGTAAAGAATAACTCTGAAAGGCAAATCTGAAGCTCCTGGCTGCTACTTGCTCCCTCCCTCTCACCCACCATCACCCCGGCCAAACGATCTGAACTCCAAATGGCCTGGAGATTGACATGGAAGCAATGGCAGTGGCAGCAGGGGATATGACAATGGAAAGCCTCCTTCAGGGTTATTCTTTATTTCTTTCCTCCAATGAAATATGGTCCCCATATGCACAAGGCAAAGAACAATTGGCAACTGGGATGCAGATCAGAAAAATAAGCTCCTGTGTCAGCAACACCAAATGTGCTGACAATCATTTAATTACTTACAATACTGTAATAATTAACTAACAGACCCTGTTGTGATAATAAAATGCCTTGTGTGGGTTTCCCCCCCACTTGTCTGATTCACTTTCTTGGGGCTACAAGATGGGAAAATACACAGAAAGGATTGGGATCTCTTCCTTCCAACCTGCCAGATGTGTTGGCCAGGAGTGGGTGAGGAGGGTTGCCTCTCGTAG